GGGTTTTTTGCTTTATCTGTCAGGAGTGCATTGGAAAATCTGTGCAGGGTGCTGGGAGGCCCAAAGCGGCCGGCAAACCTGGGGAGAGTCAGTGTGGCGTCCTGAGAATTGGAATATAAAAATGTTTGTGTAATTTAAAATGTGAGGAGCGGCGGCTGGACAGGACGCACCGTTGCAGCTGCGGTGTGTTTCGGGGTGCTTCGGAATGAGGAAAGAAATCGTCGTGGGAAAGAGCGCGTAGAGCTGTGAAAAAATAACACATCAGCTACGGCGGCGGAGAATTTTCATGATGGGAAAATACATTCTGTAAAATGTGTTTAAGCGCATCCTTTCCCGTTCTCACTATTACTGTTTTATTGCGTATCCATTTGGTGGTTGCAAACTGACTGGCTCTCTGTAGAAGCGCCTCAACTGCGCCTGCCCCATCCTAGAGTAGCGCCTGTTTGTCCCCTCTTTTAACAAATAATTCTGATTGAGTCACAAACTAGTGCGGCTAGTCCTCGGAGCCCTGGGCCACCCTGAACAGCATCAGTCATTGGGTAGAACTGTGGGATCATGCGAAACATCTATGGCGCACTTGCATTCTTGAGCCATGAAATTTGACTATCATTCTCCTACATGCGTCACTTCCATCTAAAATGTCCTGGATTCTTACAGAGGGCGAATTGAGTAGTAACTGTAAGGCGAATGGGTCTTTGTGGTGGTTGGTCTATGCAAGATGCATGCATTTAACTGGTGCACTTGCTGATTCTCTTCTTTCTTCAGCCTTTTTTGCACATTTACTCTGGAAAATAGGCAGTGATTCCCGGCTCTCTTAGTGGACGAATTTTGTTAGTATACTTCGCTTGGTACTTTCATCTTCATTTGCGTCCGTATTCTCGGAGCGGAAGGCAAGAAATGAGCGAGAAGCACATTGTTTCAGTGCCACAGCATTGCTCGTGCGCTTAGATTATTAGTGAAGAGTGAAGCTGACCACTCCTACACCATTGTTTCGTTTGTGCCTGATTATGGCCCTCATTTCTTGGCCTTTTGCTTGACGAAAATGAGGACATCATTGTGTGGTGATACTGGCGGCCTTGCAGCCACCGTCTAAACAGGGAGAAAGGCTTATACACTTGCACAGCTGGTGCACTAACAGAACACTGTTGCGCATGTTGTTTGGCTAAGTCGGTAATTGCAAACACTAGACCACCAGGTGATATTAATGGAAACGCTGAAGGACAACTTTAATCGAGAAGCCGTCGCTGTCATCACCTGTAGTTGGACCGGACAGCGGCGGTCTTCTGGTTCCATGAAGGCCGT